TCTAGACAAACATTTTGTGACCTCGGGGTCTTGTCTTCACGTTTCCATCGATAATTTAATGGCCGAATATGTTGACAGGTTTAGTATGGTGCACCAGAATTGACATAATTTTACGAATTCTAAGAACGTTTTTTCTTTTTTCTTTTTTTTGTTTCTTATAATAATTAAAAAAAAACTATAAAAAATTCTTACATTATTGAGTTACCTCTATAATGGCATTTCCTTATTTAATAGCTAAGATAATGATAAATAATTTGTTAATTATTAATATTACATTAAGTGATTAAATTTTAATTTAATAACTGAAATAATAATTAATAAAATTATTATTATATTAATAATTAAATTATCTCAGTTATTAATTGTTTAAATTGATAAATGAGACAATTTTATTATCTCATTTTAATTTTTAATTTAATAACTGAGAGTGAGATAAATTTATAACTATCTCATTCTCAATTATTAAATTTTTCAATTGATAACCGAGGTAATATAATAATTTTAATTATATTATCTCAGTTATTAAATTCAAATTGAAATTATTAACCCCCCCCCTCTCAGTTATTGAATTTTTAACTGAGATATATTTATATTCTTTATTATCAATTGCTATATTTTGATGGTTATGAATTGTTAAAATCATCTTATTTAACTCGCAAAAAAGAAAAGATTTGAAAAAATTAAAAGCGAATTAAATTATTTATCTTAACCATGTAAAAAAAAAAACTAATAAATAAAACAAATCATTCATGACACACTATGAAAAGTATACACACTAGATAAAGTAAGATGAATACATAGCAAAATTAAAAATATATAATGAAATATGGAAAGAAAACTTTAGAAATCTTCTTTTTAAGATTTAAAAAAAAAAAAGCCTCTTGAAACGTAGGGGTCGATGAAACACGGAAATGCAATGAAAGTATTACCCACTGCCGAAAACCTTTATGTCAAGGAGTTTTCTCTAAGGGGGACATGCCTTGAAACACGTGACCTTTTAACTATAATATCACTTACGATACACCATACTGAAAAAATATAACATTTTGACGCACAAAAAATATATCTTTAACTATAGTAAAAAGTTTCGGGAGTATGATTTGTATTAAGATTTTAATTTTCGCTTAGTAAATATAGTCTTCAATTAATAACTTAATAACATACCTCGTACTCTGTTTGGAAGAATTTTAAAACATTTTTTAAAATTAAATAAAAATGTAAACAATTCTTGAAAAAATTAAAGAAAAATGCAAACAATTTTTATGAAAATTAATTATTCATCAAAATTTTTTTTTCTTCAGACAATAATGTCTTTAATGTATATTATTTATAAAAGCAAATAAAAGTCTATCTAATCAGATAGTTTTATTTTACGATTTGGAGCAGATTTTTAAAAAGTTGGAGATAGTTGTGAAAAAAAATTGATGATTTACTTTCTCTAAGATGTTCTGCTTATAGGTAATATAAAACAATTTTCGTACTCTTTGAAATTTTAGAAAATTTCATGGAATTAAGCTACGGAAGAGTTACAGTTTTAATATCTATATTTACCAAGATTTTCTAAAAATAAAAATTTCAAAAATAAATTAATTCATTTTTGAGTAAGTCCTGGAAGTTTCATTATAATCAGACGATTATTTGATTTTTGAAAGAATTTTCAAATTAATGTGTTTTACACTGGGAAATGCTACACTAAAAATGTCCATTACCACAAGTCTTACAAAGTTGACAAAAAAAAGATTTTTTAGCCAAATTTAGAACGTGTTAAAAAGGAGGCAATTTTTTTTTTTTTAAATAATTAAAAATTACTTTGTTCTTTCCTCTTAATAACAACAAACTTTTTGAGGTTAAAACTTTGTTTTTATTAAGTTTGGGGACATTTTATCATCATGCTATACTGTTAATTTTTTTTTTTTTATTTATTTATTTTTTGTTTGTTTTTTTTTTTTTTTTAGCGAATTTTTGGAGGTACCTAGCGTACAGTGTCTATTTATAGCCCCAGTAAGCAAAAATTGCGCTCTCAAAGAGGAGAGTCACAAATCAAGGGGAGACCACTCTTTATTGTTCCTAAAAATATGTTTAATGGATAACACTGTTTTACATGTTTGACACACCGGTTGGACTTCCTTAGGAAAGAATGTGTTATTCTCGTATGGTCGATGCGTAAGCAGGCCATTACGACCTCCTCTTTACGAGACTTCCTGAAAGATGTATTACTTACTGCCAGCTTGAGCTGGATTGTATAGAGTCTATTATGTGGATAATCGTCCTAGTACTCTTGCCATTTTTTTAAAACTATATTTATTTATCGCCTCCTTAAAATCTGTATATGGGACCTTGATCCCTGTGTCCAGATTCATATCCAAAGCTGATTTGGTTCTCAGGTCTTCTCTACAGTTAACTTTTATTTCAATGTGGCTAGCGATCCAATATAATATTATATTTCTTTTTCTGTTCGTTATGTTGATTTTCTGGAATATTTTAATAATCATTGTGTTGTTGGATTTATTCCCCTCCAAAGCTGATAGGACGAAGAAGGAGTCCAAAAGGATTAGGGAGTTCTTTAATTTGCTCTTAGTCTTGATGTCTTGAACTAACTCAATCGAATAAGCCTCTGCAATGAAAATCGAACGACCTTTTAAGAGGCGTTTCTTTTTGGTCATTTTCTGGCTTACTGCTGCACATCCTATTTTGTCTTCACATGTTCATCCGTCCGTATAGATTATTGTATTATCATGGAAGTTTCCCAGTATTTCCTGGAATTTGCCCAGAAATGAGAGAGGATGTTTGTTTTTTTTCCTTTGGAAAATCATGCATTTCAAGAATGACTTGAGGGTGTTTAATTATCCATGCTGGAATACTGGATGCTGTTTTATCTTGTAAAGGGTGTTCCTATAACTTGGACCGATTTTAAATGTGAATTAAGTTTAAGCGTCTAATTTTTTTTCTTTTTCTTTCAGATTTAACAACTTAAGTCTTTGGCAATTTTAACCATGGAAAGATTAACAATCAAACAATGTGTTAAAGTTATCAAAGCCTATTACGAAAATAGGCGTTCAAATTTATAAACATACGGCCCAATGATTCCGCTAGCAAAAAACTTCACACCAAACAGTAATATTTTTGTGGTTACAGTTGCTTTTCAACAATCTTCCTTGCATTTTCACCAAATTTTTATCTAATTTTTTTTTTTTTTTCATATTTATAAAGGGTGTTCCAATAATTTGGACCGATTTTAAATGTGAATTAAATTTAAGCGTCTAATGATTTTTTTTCTTTTTCTTTCAGATTTAACAACTTAAGATTTTGGCAATTTCAATCATGGAAAGATTTACAATTAAACAGCGTGTTGAAGTTTCAAAAGTGCAACTGAAAAAATTGTTCGTAAATTCAAACAAACTGGATCGGTTGGAGATGTGAAAACACCATTGCGTGCTCGTTTACGCCGTTCAGCTGAAAACATTGCTGTAGTGCACGAGAATGTGGCCGAAAATCCAGACACCCCAATTCGTCATCGGGCATAGGAATTGGAAACTCTCCACAAAAACGTTACATCGTTTCCAATTGCACTTTCGGTTGGTCGATTATGTTGACCAAAAAATCGTGATGTGCGCGAAATGCAATTCTGTTTGAACGTCCATTTTCGTAATAGGCTTCGATAACTTTAACACGTTGTTTGAGTGTTAATCTTTCCATGGTTGAGATTACCAAAGACTTAAGTTGTTAAATCTGAGAGAAAAAGAAAAAAAAATGTGAATAAAGTTTAAACTTTATTCACATTTAAAATCGGTCAAAGTTATTGAAATACACATTTGATAATGAGGTACCTAATTCTTCAGCAATGGATTGAACGATCTTGTGTAAAAAAAAATCCCTGATTTTTTTTTCATATAGCTTGTGTATAATGCGACCCCCAGATTCTAAACAATGTTAGGACTACCGTGGTCAAATATCATAGTACTGGGCAGCATCTTGGACATATTTTAGAGCAAATAAACGATGGTGAGAAGAACCACTAACAATTTTAACCTCACCCCTACCTATGTGTAGTGCAACCGGTCACCGAATATGCATGATTTTTAACCTCTTCAAAAATTACCCGTGTATAATACAACCATTCACCAAAAATGTATGATTTTTAACCTTTTTTTTCTTTTTAATTATCTGTCTATAGTACGATCCCTTATGTTTTGCATTAAAAAAAAAACCCAAAAAAAACTGGTCATCAAACCTCGTACTACACTCAGTGAGTCACGGTGGAGTAATGGATAGCGGCTAGGATTGATGAATCAGAGAGCCGAGTTCGACTTGGGAAAAGATATGAATCCTTTTCTTCTAAGAAGCTATGGCTAAATAGCAGGACAGACCCAGTTCTATAGCCTTGGACGGCAACTGGTCTACTGAAGAAAGAAATGGCAACCTACTGCAGGAAAAATCTGCCTTGTCAGTCATCTATCGAAAGATACATGATCGGCTAAGCGTGTATCACACATGGCACATAAATGACTGACTGACTGCTCTCGAATATATACAGCGTTTCTGAAGTTGATTACTTATCAAAAGTGTCTACTAAGCGCAGAGGTTTAAGGCCATATGTTGGCACGCCGGTTCTCGCAAGATCATCGAAGTTAAGCAACGTCGAGTCTGGTCAGTACCTATATGGGTAGCTGCTTTGAATGTGCATGGGTGTCATGAATAACGGCTTGGAAATAGAAATCAAAGCGCCGAGTTTCTATTCCAGCCGTGTTTTTTTTATACTCACTTACGTTCAAAAACTGCTAAGAAAGGTATGAATCCACCTCTTCTCCCCAATCTATGGGTTAATTAGTAGAACTTAGATCGTTAAATCATTATTATCCTCAAAAAGATGATTACACTCTAAAAAGAAATATTTCCGGCTTTAAATAACCTGCAAAAGGCTGATAAGCCGTAAAACACAAATCACTCGATAAGCAAACAGTTTTAGAGAGAATTTGAAAAGAACTTTGATATTCACTTACCTGGTAAAATGTCTTTGATTTTCAACATCTTCCAGTATTCCCCGTGTACTGTTTTTCCAGAAGAGTCTGTAAGTGTTACATCCAAAATATCCGAGTCGTGTTCTTTGACAAAATGTTCTTCATAATCCCGAATATCGTAGCAGACAAAATCGCAAAACGAACAACGATAAATACCCCTAAGTCCACCTGAATCGGAATCTAGCTTCTCATCAGGTTCGGTCTTTATCGATGCTAGGGTGTTGCTGGCCGGTGCCGACGGCGGGCTCTTGTCGAGAGAGCCAAACGATACTGGCGGTTGGCTCTTCGACACCAAGAAACCCTCGACCACCGACGAGAGCATGCCTAATGAGTCCGTGTTCTGTGGGAGGATGCAGTTGGTGTCCGTCATGGAAAAATCTACTGGGGTATCGTTCGCCAGTTCCGGAGATTTCTCCGGTGTTGGGGGTCGCGTCGGAGTGGAAGAAGATCGAGAAGGTGATTGTGGAGTTTTTCGACCTGTCTCCGGAGTGTTCTTCGTTTGCGATTCCCGATTTTCGTTGGCGGCTTTGTCACATGGAAGGGGATCTTCAATGTTTTTATTGGATTCTTTATCTGTAGATGACTTATTATTATTATTATTATTATTATTATTATTGTTGTTGTTGTTGTTGTTGGATGAATTACGACTATTACTACTGTTGTTACTACTACTACTACTGGTATTACTACTACCTTTTTGAGAATTGTCACTACTACTACTACTATTACTACTACTACTACTACTACTGCTAATAGAAGCACTACCAGCGTTATTATCATCGTCATTGTTGTTATTGCTATTATTGTCATGCTTATTGTCCTCTTTTTCCTTCTCCCGTTCGATAGAAGTTTTACGGCTTTTTGTGCAGATCGCCTCCTCCTCGGAGTCCGAATCTGACCAGGACGTCGTCACCTGGGGCTGACGAACAGCGACCGGGGCATGACGCTTCCGCCGCTGGCGGGTCGTCACTTCCTTATCACAGTTAGAGTCCCCGTCGCTTGACATGTCCGTCCGATGACGTTTTCGTTGGCCGTCTTTCTCCAATTCGCAGTCTGACGTAGGTTCGCTGGGCGGACCCGGAGTTGGCGAACCCTCGGATGGTTGGTCAGGGATTGGTGAGGCTGCCTGCGCCGAGGCTTTGCCAGTGCAGCCAACGGCTACCGTTCGGGCAGCTCCCGGGTTAGCGACGACGTTGGATGCTTCTGAGGAAGATTTTGAGGTCTGCGAAGCTTCGGTTGTAGGGATGGGTGAAGGAGTTGCGGATGAAAGTGGGGTGTTGGTAGTATTAGAAGAAGAAGAAGAAGAAGAAGAGGAAGAAGTAGTAGTAGTAGTTGTGTTTGTAGAGATCGAAATGGAAGTAGATGTGTTTGTCGTAGGGGACGAAGGAGATGTTTGTCCCGAAAAATGGGTGGTCATTTTGGTGTTTGAACTCAGACTAGAATTAGTGTAAATACTATTATTGGAAATACTACTTTTATTACCATTATTATTATTATTAGTGTTTATACTATTACTACTATTTGAACTAACCGAAGAACTAGTAAGATTTGTGGAAACAGACGAGGAGGAAGTGGAACACGAAAGATGATCCCGTTTGAAATTTGACTGAGTCAGTAGTAGTTGATGCGACTGTTGGTGGTGATAAGGTGGATGGGAATTTTGCTGATGCCTTTGTGAGGGAGGATGCGAGTGCGCAGGGGGCGGTGGCTGGGTCGACTGGTTCGGCGGGGGCTGTTGTGACTGGGCTGGCGAGTGGTCAGAGGTGACACTCCGGTCAGCTGCCTCGACGCGGGCTCGGTGCTGGTAGCTGGAGCAGTGGCTCATAAAGGCTGCCCTCACCTGACACTTGCAGTTACACACCTGGCAGAAGTAAACAATGTTACCTCCTTCCCGGATCAGCTTCGTGTACTTGCCGAAGTCGGGCGTGTAGCTCGGGTTGGTGGTCGCTCCGTGGAAACCCGACGGTGTGCCAGCCGTACCGGCACCCCCGCTGCTCAGGCGGCTATTGGAGATCAGAATCTGATCCGCCAGCTGCTGGAGTCGACTGATGTTCTCTTCCATGGATATCTTTTCGGACTTCACCATCTCTTTGCCAGGGCTGCTACTGTTGGTGACCCGTATCAAGGAATTTGAAGGTATGATTGCCGTCTGACGTTGTTTTGTGTGAAGAGACTCCATGATAAAACGCGGTGTACGGTTTTGTATCGTCTTGGTCGGGTCACTAACAGTGCATTGGTTCTCTGTGCTGATTTCAGTCTCGCTTTTGTTGGTGAACTCGTCGATCGGGGACGGCTCTGTTGATTCGACGTCGTCCCCAGGGCGGATCTCCATGCCATGAGAAAAACGACAATGGGCCCGGAGGTCTTCTTCGGTGCTAAATTTCAGACTGCAGTGCTGGCATTCATTGTGCGATTGTTTCTTTGTCAGGTGCAAATCGTTGACGTGACTGATGAAACTATCCCTTGACGTGAGTATCGAAGGGAGCGTTGTGCACAGCGTGCACTTGTAGAGGACTTCGGCAAATTTCATTAAGTTTTCCACCGAGCTTCCAAGACTCTTGCCAAAGAGATAACTGTCTGAGTTGCCACCATTAGCCACGTTCATCGGACTGTTCTTCTTCTCAGAAGGTGTCATCGTGAACGGCTGACTGGGTCCGAGCTTAGCAGGAAGAGGGTAATCTGGTGGCGCCCGGGTGCCATTAACTACGAATCGGGGACTTAAGTGCGTCTCCTTCCGGGCGCATCGGAAATTTCGATTGCTGCTAAAATTCACTGCCTCTTGTTCCGTCTTGATTTGAACATGGCACTGGTTAATTGCAGGGTCGGCAACCGAACGAGGACTATACATGATGCCGTGTGCGGCTTCCGGACCCCTGGGTAAGGTGTACGAGGATACTGGTGGCGGCGATACAACTACTTCCATTTGGTCCTTTTCACCTGCTGAGCCACTGAAAAGAGAATAAAAAACAAGATAGGTAGATAGATATAATGAGAGAAAGAGAACAGACTGGCATAGATAGATAGATAGATAGATATATATATAGAGAGAGTGTGAACAACTAGCATATATATAGAGAGAGATAACAGACTGGCATAGAGAGAGAGAGAGAGAGAACAGACTGGCATAGAGAGAGAGAGAGAACAGACTGGCATAGAGAGAGAGAGAGAACAGACTGGCATAGAGAGAGAGAGAAAACAGACTGGCATAAAGAGAGAGAGAAAAACAGACTGGCATAAAGAGAGAGAGAAAACAGACTGGCATAGAGAGAGAGAGAAAACAGACTGGCATAAAGAGAGAGAGAAAACAGAGAGAGAGAGAGAGAGAAAACAGACTGGTATAGAGAGAGAGAGAGAGAGAGAAAACAGACTGGTATAGAGAGAGAGAAAACAGACTGGAGAGAAAAAACAGACTGGTATAGAGAGAGAAAAAAACAGACTGGCATAGAGAGAGAGAGAGAAAAACAGACTGGCATAGAGAGAGAGAGAGAAAAACAGACTGGCATAGAGAGAGAGAGAAAAACAGACTGGCATAAAGAGAGAGAGAAAAACAGACTGGCATAGAGAGAGAGAGAGAGAAAAACAGACTGGCATAGAGAGAGAGAGAGAGAAGAACAGACTGGCATAGAGAGAGAGAGAGAGAGAGAGAGAGAAAAACAGACTGGCATAGAGAGAGAGAAAAACAGACTGGCATAGAGAGAGAGAGAGAAACAGACTGGCATAGAGAGAGAGAGAAGAACAGACTGGCATAGAGAGAGAGAACAGAGAGATAGAGAGAGAGAGAGAACAGACTAGGCAGAGAGAGAACAGAGCATAGAGAGAGAGAGAGAGAACAGACTGGCAGAGAGAGAAACAGAGAGAGACAGACTAGCATAGAGAGAGAGAGAGAACAGACTGGCATAGAGAGAGAAAGAGAGAGAGAGAGAACAGACTGGTATGGATAGAGAGATGGAGAGCACAGACTGGCATAGAGAGAGAGAGAGCACAGACTGGTAGAGAGAGAGAGAGAGCACAGACTGGCAGAGAGAGATTTCATTTTTCACTAGTATTTCTTTCATCTTCATTTCAATTGCTTTATTTCCACTAGTAGTATTAGTAGTAATATTATCTGGAATTTTATTATTATTATTAGAAGAAGCCTTGTCAATTCTTATGCATTTTTCACTAGTATTTCTTTCATCTTCATTTCAATTGCTTTATTTCCACTAGTAGTATTAGTAGATTATCTGGAAGCATTAGATTATTAGAGAGCCTTGTCAATTCTTTGCATTTTCACTAGTATTTCTTTCATCTTCATTTCAATTGCTTTATTTCCACTAGTAGTATTAGTAGTAATATTATCTTGAATTTTATTATTATTATTAGAAGAAGCCTTGTCAATTCTTATTCATTTTTCACTAGTATTTCTTTCATCTTCATTTCAATTGCTTTATTTCCACTAGTAGTATTAGTAGTAATATTATCTGGAATTTTATTATTATTAGATGAAGCCTTGTCAATTCTTATGCATTTTTCACTAGTATTTCTTTCATCTTCATTTCAATTGCTTTATTTCCACTAGTAGTATTAGTAGTAATATTATCTGGAATTTTTTATTTTAGATGAAGCCTTGTCAATTCTTATGCATTTTTTCACTAGTATTTCTTTCATCTTCATTTCAATTGCTTTATTTCCACTAGTAGTATTAGTAGTAATATTATCTTGAATTTTATTATTATTATTAGAAGAAGTCAATTCTTATTCTTGTCAATTCTTATTCATTGCTTTTTTTCACTAGTATTTTTCTTTCATCTTCATTTTCAATTCATTTCAATTTTTTATTTCCACTAGTAGTATTAGTAGTAATATTATCTTGAATTTTTTATTATTATTAGAAGAAGCCTTGTCAATTCTTATTCATTTTTCACTAGTATTTCTTTCATCTTCATTTCAATTGCTTTATTTCCACTAGTAGTATTAGTAGTAATATTATCTTGAATTTTTATTATTATTGAAGAAGCCTTGTCAATTCTTATTCATTTTCACTAGTATTTCTTTCATCTTCATTTCAATTGCTTTATTTCCACTAGTAGTATTAGTAGTAATATTATCTTGAATTTTATTATTATTATTAGATGAAGCCTTGTCAATTCTTATTCATTTTTTCACTAGTGTTTCTTTCTTCTTCATTTCAGCTTTATTTCTAGTAGCTTTGAACATTATTATTAGAAAACCTTGTGCATTTTTCACTAGCGTTTTCTTTCTGCAGTCGCTTTGAACAAGCACAAATGTGCCTGAGCCGGCGTCTGCAACAGGAATTAGCTAGCCACTCTAGCAGACATACTCAGAAAGCCAGTTGCCTGTCATTATATTATCTATTTCCTAAGTATTTCGTTTTAAAAATCACGAGTACTCTCAGAAAGACCGTAATAGTTTGAGACGCTAAACTGTATGATTGCCGACAGATAAGCAGATGTGCTGTTTTATGTTGACATTTGAAACAAAAAAAAAAAAATAATAATAATAATAACAACTGCTAGACGGGCATCTATTATGGTGTGGGAAAAAAAAGCGACCAGAGGTCAACCATTATTTTATCAAAACGTGGAAACAGATAAGAAAAACAGGCCTGGGTCGCCAGTCAGACGGCGAAGGGAAAGACAATTGACGAAGAGACGAAGATATCCAAATTGTTCACGACGAATATACTAAAAAAAAAAAATGTATTTACATAACAGATTCAAATTACTGTAAACGTTCTTGTAGTGGATAGACATGCTTGAATAGACGCCCTGTCTAACTCTCCAATACTTGGCTACAACAAAAAGATGAGTTACTAAAGTGTTATAGTGGAACACACCTATTCTGTAGTTAATAGACTCTCCCGCCTATAATAAGTAAGAGTAGTAGGAGTAGTAAGAGTAACGAGGGAGTCGCTCAGTGGGTCGGTCAGTCAGTCGATGCCGGACGACCGTTAGTCGGATACTAAAGTATCAGCGACCACAACTAGATTTCTCTGCGTCATTACCTATTATATCAAGTTCCTAACGTTTTGTACGTCGAACCTATTTTAGGACCGACTTAATACAAATACAAGCCTCCACTGTGAAACCACTCCATAACACAAAGGGAGGTAACTGAAACTTAGATATCCAGAAAAGGCACATGGCACGTGAAAACAAAAATAATCTACCCCTCCATGGACTAAATAAAGGGTTCGACCGAAATTCCAACGTATATCACCTGAAGAAGGCCGGAGCTTACAGCTGCCGAAACGTCGTGAATATGACAATATTTACAGAGTAAATAGTGTAAATAGTTACAACACCTCATCTCAGAAATCTAGACAGATTGATCATGCGAGAGATTTTTCTTTTTATATCAATTCACCCCAAGCAGGGTGATAACGCCTCTAAGTTGCAAGCGGGGGGTGCTACTAGAAATGAAAAAAAAATTAAAATCTTTAGAAGGAACTAGAAACCCAATTCCATACAGGAATCAAGGTATCAAATTCTATTCCTGTTCAAAAGAACGAGGGTGAATGTGAAGCAAACGATAGGTGACCCTATCTATTCCTATTGAGGAAGATATTGATAATAATAATAATTAAAAAAAAAAAGTAGTAAATAGAATTTCAGATTTGGGGCAGAGACGTTATAAGTATAGATTTGAGGAAGACTTTAAAACAAAGGTCGGCAATCCCCGCGAAGGATTTCTGTCCGGCTCGCCAGCTTAACACCTGGATACTAATTATCTAATTCAGTTGTGAAGCAAGTGACAGAAAAAAAAATGTCAGTTAATCAACTGAAAAGTTAATCGACTAACAATGCGACGATTTTTTTAAATCAAAATTTAATCCCCAGCTGATTTCTACAAGAAATATGTTTTGCCAAACGTAAAATATAAAACTTAAAAGTCTATTGAATAATGCGAAAATGATGGATTCATTTTCTGGAAGTAAATACACTTGTGAACAAACATTTTTTTTCGGAAATTGTTATGATGTTGATTTGGGGTTAGTAGAGACAAACGCCAAATAACACGTAACGATAAAAAGGGTTTTAATAGGTTGGTAAAAAGGTACAGAAATCGCCTGAGTAGTCAATAACTAGCTCAGCTAAGAGCTTCTCTGTCTATCTGTCTTCCGTCATGTCAACTGACATGCCACTATTTAAAGTCTTTGTTCACAGACGCAGACAAGTTCATCTTCAAGAGGGGTGGTAGGTTTCCGACACAACAGAAATGAAATCTACTAAAAGTCGTTTAAGAACAAGGTTGGGTGAACGATAAGCAGAAACAACTGCCTCTTTGAATAATTTGCTATTTCTAACAAGGAATTTGCATTTTTTGTTGTTTGTGTTGTTGCAGAATTTGAGCTAATTGGATGCATCAGAAGATGTAATTGCGTGGAGGCTTAAAAATGTAGCAAGTTGCGACAAGTCTGTTTTTCCCGCTCACCTATCTGGAGCCGGTTTGAAACCCTAAAAATCAATAAATAGGATCGCTTCACTTGATTCAGACAGTCAGTAACTAAGTCAGTCGTTCACTTCTGAACCGACTGTTCGGTTAAACTCTCTTCCTACGGACGGGAGGAACCCGAAGGAGGCTACGCCGAAGGGCGGAGTCTCCTTTGGAAAGGTAAAACCGACCCTGAACCCGTTTATACGGGTTCAATGGGCATATTTTTGGCCGAGCCCACGGGCTCGGAATGCCCACGTTAAAAAGGCCTTATGCCACATGACACCCTCGTGGGGGGAGGTGACTGAATATCGTCAGTAACTAAGTTTTTGGGAGATGCCAACAAACTCCACGCGCGCCAGCACACTGACTCAACAACCGCAACCCTCTCTCAGCAGCTCAACACAACTCAGAAAGTCTTGCCGCGCGAATTGACCCAACTTAAAATCTACTAGAAAAAGTGACATTATCACTACCGAAGTAGTAACTGTATTTAATCAACTTACATCATATCAGTCAAAGGCACATAACTCCTTATGACTTTAAACAATATTTACAATTGTCGCACACATACACACTAATATCTGAACCCACACAAGTGACATTTCACCTTGCAGAAAACAAACGGTTTTAATTTCATAGACAAACCTTAACTACAAGGTTTCATACACCAAATCACTGCATAGTCACTCCTTGAAAATTTATCTCACTATTCACATTGAACAAGCAATCTTAAAATTCACTTGTGTATATCAAACGTATATAAATGCATGTTATTTGTTGAAATCTATAACTATGTTGTTTCTCTTTGATTTCTTCCAATTGAATTGCCTTTAAATGTTTATTTTAATTGTCGTGGATGAATGTTTAACGTACACGCACATTTTTAAGCCTTCACACAATTAAACCTTCTGATACATCCAATTAGCTCAAATTCCGCAACAGTGATTGTTATTCCTGCAGTTAAATAGGGAACATTGTTTAAATAATATAACATTAACTTCGTTGTTTTTGCTTTAAACCTCCAGACCAAGTTAGTCTTCTGGACGGAGGGGGTCTGAAGTCGAGACAGTTTATTATAGTACATTTGATATCATGGCCCTTCTCCGAGACACTTCATAGTCGCCTGGTCCGCTCTCGCTAAAAGGTTGCTTACCCCTGCTTTAAAAGGAACCGGAAACTCAATTCTAAACATCCTTAATAATCTTTCTATTCTGTAATTCTTCCGTACCCAGTACCCCTTTGTATCTTAGTAGCTCTATTGCCTTCCTTGGAGTGAACAGGATTAAAAAAAAAATGTTACTGTTATATCTCAGGTTGTTGAGATGAGACGAACAAAAATGAATGAAAATAAAAGACAAGTGTATTTTAGCACATAATAAAATAACTTTTATTCATTTACTTCCTGAGAACAGCAAGGATTGGTTTGGATTTAAACCGTGCTGGTCAGCTCGTCACCATGTTGAATCCAGAAGTGTCGCGATCCAGCTAGCGGACAAGGGACGTAACTCCACTATATTTTGAGTTATCGGCCTTTACAGAGGTAAGTTAGAAGCCCCTAACAGTTGCTAAAATAAAT